TGTGTGTGTGTGAGAGAGAGAGAGAGAGAGAGAGAGAGAGAGAGAGAGAGAGAGAGAGAGAGAGAGAGAGAGAGAGAGAGAGAGAGAGAGAGAGAGAAAGATTCGCTCTGTTGGCAGACAAGAGGATGTCCTTTTATCCGGTTGCGCTTTGTCGCGTAGGGCATCTTTCTGTTTGTGATGCGTCAATGATGTTTATTTTATGTTGCCAGTGGCAGGTGGTGCCGGAAGGGGTTATGAGTTTGTGGCGAAGGGTGTGGTCTTGCGCAAGATGTCTCCCAGTCAGGGAAATGTTCGTTATGAAGTATGGAAGGTGGGCGATCAACAGGAGGTCGTGGCAGTAGTTCAAACGTTTGCACCCCCTCGGGGATGTGTTTGTAAACCCAAGGCAAGTTTTCTCGCCGTTGGGTCTATCGATCCTCCATAGGACCAATATGGTAGTGCGAAGGCTGTGCATTTCCAGGAAGTGGTTTGGAGTGGAGTACGAAGAAGTTGTTGTGCGGAGGAGCGTTTAAAGTGTAGTACGATATTCTCAGCGATCTGTTCTCATTAAACTACAAGTACTTCGAAGGCACTTTTCTCCAGGGCCGGAAACGTCCTACGCGCCCAAAAAAGATGAACTGGCGCGGACCTCCTTTTGGCTGGTGGCACCAGCCATTTTGCCCCGGAGGCCGAGCCTTGAAAGTTGCGGCTGCATACAAATGATATATTTTATTTTTTGGATACGAAACGTACCGGTGGTTTAATCGACCGATAAGTTTCCCAACTACTTTTCTATGGACGTGACGTGTATCATACAACCGTGACTCTTGGGAACTTGAAGTACCGGGGCGCCGTTTTGCCGGATATCCATCCCAACAAAACGGGTCACATGTGAGCCCCACATTACCTGGATGAATATCTAGTGAAACTCTGCCCCACTACTTCCCGAAAGTTGCGACCATACACGAGCTGCATATTTGTCTTTCAAACAAGAAAAGGTTCTGGTGGTACAAGGGTTGAGGCCCAGGCCCGCACATTATTTCACTTGTGGTGGTGAGGCTCAAGCCCGCAAAAAGAAAGTGCCTAGTTTGTCGATTTTTCGTGCTGACAAAGAGAAAGAGAGAGAGAGAGAGAGAGAGAGAGAGAGAGAGAGAGAGAGAGAGAGAGAGAGAGAGAGAGAGAGAAGAATTGTAAGTGCATGGTTGGGAGTAGAAACATGACATTGACTTACCATGAGAGCACGGGTGCAAAGCCCGTAGTTTGTATGCTTGAGTGATGAACGAGGCATCATTCGAGAGGTCGATCATTATGGCAGCTTTGTTTTAGAAAAAAAAATGGGTGAACCCCAATGGAAGCACGTGCGAGATCTGCTCGGAATCACCACGTCACACATCAGCGGCACAAGCCACACACACACACACACACACACACACACACACACACAAGGGGGGAGGGAGGAGGGGGGGGGGGGGGGGGAGGGAGATCGGGGGGGAAGAGTTGCAGAAAGTAAAAACAAAGAAGTAGAGATGTTCCAATTGCAAGGAATATGAGCGAGAGAGATAGAGGGAGATCCAAGTTGAAAAATAGAGAAGGGGGGGGGGGGGGGGGGGGGGGGGGGGGGGGGGAAAGAGCGAGAGAGAGATATACGCAACCTCACACCCCGCGCGTCGTCCCATACCCGTGAACGACGATCAAAGTAATTGGGGGTGTTGTCGAAGATTTTTTGCCGGTGGGGTTGAATCGCCTGGACGGAACGGGGGATTCTTGTTTCGTACCGATGCGTCCCTTTAATTTGGGCCGCCGTCAATGGCAAAAAGAGAGAGACCTGGGTAGGAAAGAGGTCATTGCTAATGGACAGGTTCTGCCCGGTTTTCAAATACCTAGGCCCGGCCGAGGGGGCTGCAAGCGATGTGCTATCCGACCGATCATTTACAAAACCTTAAGAAAAAAAAAAAGAATCGGGAAAAGAAAAATTCACCGCCCCCTTACGTGCTAGGCCCATGCTAACTCGGTAGTGTAAGCCCCATCGACACGGAGGTTTCGGGCCTCGGTGTCTGATTCATCGAGTGCTCGCGGGTGTCCTGGGCGGCGTCGCTTAGTGTAGGCGAGGTTGGGGGAACCCAGGTTCGGAAGTTAGCCGGGAGCGCGTCCGCATTGCGGGAGAGTTCAGGGAATCGAGCCCCAAGACTAATGTGCGTCAGGAACACGAGTCTCCCTGGCTACACCAGCGACAGTTAAACCGAGGCTGCCACGTGTCGTGGGCCGTGAACCAGGGTAACACTGCCAGATTAGTGTAGGGCAAGATCAAGGGAGGGGAGGAGAACCGGTCAATCAACACAAACCCACTCCCACCTATGTGGCAGGCTCTAAGGGGGTTATACAGACGAATCTGCTCAGTTTGTCGCAGAGTGCTTCGCACGTCCGCATCGCAATACACATTATTGTCGTTTGCAATCGGGAAGGATGGCAACACGTTGCGATGGACCGATGAGAAGGTTGAGCACGGGCAATGGCCCCCGCTCACGTTCGCCGCGACAAACGCTAACTCCATACAAGGATCAAATGAAACTCGCGTTACCCTCTCTCTCTCTATCTCTGTTTCTCTCTCTCTCTCTCTCTCTGCGTCAATTTGAATCCGGGCTCAGAGATCCGGCGTCGTGATCGCCGTTTAGTTATTAGGACGAATGTGACCACAGTCGAGTTGCAAAGATAAGCCGCGTCGTGGAAGCGCGGGCGACTGATACCCCCGGTTGTCGAGTATACGTCGTGGGGGCGACACCAGCCCAATTGACCCAGACCCTCTGCGCGCACGAGGGGAGAGGAGGGAAAGAGTTTAGCGATGATCCCTGCGCTTACACGTGGCGTCGGGATCGGCAAAGGGGGCGGGGAAGGGAAGGAAATCCAACACACTCTCTTCCACACAACTACTCATTCATCTATCTTGGACAGTGAGACGTTCAACATCCATATACTCTCGCACCACAACATGCATACAACAAAATACGCATACTCCGGGACATTGCACACATCACACTTGGATAACGCAACAATGGAGATAAAAGCGAGTCCCTCACTATTCAAAATTTCACACGAGGTTGGCCTCCCTCAGGCGCAACCCCCCAATCAATCCGAACTTCCACCAACCATAGCCACAAGGCCCTGTTGCTGGTGGCGTTCGATCTCCACCACCGCTCCGTCACTCTGACCGTCTTACCCGACGTCTACTGCTAAGCCCATCCCATGTCGTGACTCCGCCCGTCCTTGGGCACGTCAAGCTTGTTCAACGTCGCGAACCTCGCGCATAGCTCGCGCAACATTGTAGCCGAGATCAAAAGAGAAGGAGAGGAAGGGACTGCAAGAATTTATAGCGCGAAAAGCGGCGTGCCAGCGTGAGGTGTGGGTAACAAGGGGTGTAGATTAGTAGGACAGAAGAAAGGCCGAGGTCCAGGAGTATCGAAAGGGGCGAGTTGAAAGCTCCGTGTAGTTGGGGTGGTTGTTCAAGTGGTGCTCGCTTCCTGCTTTCACCACATTGATCTGACCATCCCAACTACACGGCCAATCGCTCGCGATGATAAGTAAGGAGAGGATCAGACTTTGCTCGCGGGAAGACAGAGAGGCATGCAAGAGGAAAGCGCGCATCACGAAGGAAAGATGGCGCGGAGATGCAAAGCGGGGGAGTGCAAGAAATTTGAAAAACATCTGCGCGCGCGTTATTACGCAAGGAATCAAAATTTTCGCCCACACTAATTCGTAACTGTTTCTTGGATTTCTCGGCGCGGTCGCTAACCGTCCGCGCGGAAAAGTGATTAGGGGTAGTTCTGAAAAATACAAGTCTTTGTGCCGTCCCCCCGCCCTTCCAAAAAGAAAAAGAAGAGAAAGAAAAGGAAAATAGACCCCGCTTTCCTCGATCAACCAGAATCCATTCTTAGAGGCTTACTTGGGGTTCCCCCCCCCCAAACCAAAAACGTCCCTTGCGTTGAACATTGAAAGCTGCCAGGTTCATATAACGCAGCCATGACGGGCTGCAAACACATTTAGAATTGATCGTGAGGGCAAGCGCTGTTTCGACCTGGGCCCTTTCCATTCCATTTCCATTCCACCTGGGCAGTGCGTCTCTCTCTCTCTCTCTCTCTCGTTCTCCCCCCCCTTCCCCCGCCCCGCCGCGGCTGTTTGTTTCAGGCTGTTACTTTTCATCGTCGTCTTTTTTTTTTTTTTTTTTTTTTGGGGGGGGGGGGGATTTTTTGGGGACCACCGGTCGCACGCCCGTGGGTACCTCGCGCGACGCAGCCGCGTCTATTTCTTCAAGCAGGGAGAGGTACTGGTGGTTTAAAAGCCCTTGTGATATCCCTCTATCCCGGTGGTGGTAAGAGAACCGTCAGAATTGAGGGCTTCTGGGGGTATTTTACTATTTTGCAAACAAATTATCCCTCTGAAAAAGAGAGATCTTTTCAGCAACGTGGTTCACACTTCGCAACCACGTTTTTCTTCCCGCCGCCGGCCCATGTCCCACACGAGTCCCACACGAGTCCCACACGAGTCCCACACGAGTCCCACACGAGTCGCACAGGAGTCCCACGAGTCGCACCGATCCGGCGTGCCCGCATCCTGATGCTACCGTAGTAAGGACCCCGCCAAAAAACCGCGCAGAAAAGCGCCGCGCTTTTTCACGCCAGCGGCAAGGACCCCGCCAAAACACAGCGCCCACGTTTTTCCTTCCGCCCCCCGCCCTCGTCCCACACGAGTCGCACACGAGTCCCAGGAGTCGCACCAGATCCGGCGTGCCCGCACCCTGATGCTAGAGAGGGACCACACACTAAGGACCCCGCCAAAAAACAGCGCAAAAAGCGCCGCGCTTTTTCACGCCAGCGGTAAGGACCCCGCCAAAACGCAGCGCGAAAGCGCGCCGCACTTTTTTTTCACGCCAGCTCCTCTCTTTTGCTTCCTGTCAGCGCGGTGGATTTCAGCTCTTACTTTTTTCTTATCAGGGATTGGAGCGTAAAGGGGCTGGCGATAGGACGTGGAGGTGGTGGTCGATCTACGTGGTGTCTGCGCGCGGCAATCGTACGTGGCATCGGACGAACGGAAAAGGACAGGTGTCGTTTATTCAGGCAATCATCGTCATGATTCTTCAGGCATGGAGCTTGGCGACGGCGCCGTTGATTATCGTGGGTGGCATCGCCGCGGCTGTGACCACGGTGTCCTATGTGCTGGACAAGCCAGAGCAAAGGAAGGAAGAAACTGGCAAGCAGCCGCGTCGGTCTTCTCGAAAGTAGCTATGGCGTCGCACGTTTGCAGCTATGACATCGGTCTTCTTGGAAGCAGAAAGCTGGCAAGCAGCCGCGTCGGTCTTCTCGACAGTAGCTATGGCGTCGCACGTTGCAGCTATGGCGTCGCACGTTTGCAGCTATGACATCGGTCTGCTCGGAAGCAGAAAGCTGGCAAGCAGCCGCGTCGGTCTTCTTGAAAGTAGCTATGGCGTCGCACGTTGCAGCTATGGCGTCGCACGTTGCAGCTACGGCGTCGCACGTTGCTAAATTGGAGGAGTGGGGAGGGAATGGGAGAGTCTGGCGCGCGATCAATGATAAACAAGATCCACGTTGATGACGAAAGTACACGCACCTTGAGATCATCATGTTGCATGGCGCTGGCGTTCACCTGGGGGCAGCAGGGGCGCTGTGGCGCACCGTAGACTGGCGGAGTTGTTGTGCGGCGTTGGCTGCTCGGCGGAGTTGCGCGGCGGCTTTCGCTGCCCGGTGGAGTTGCGCGATTTTTGCCGCTCGGGGGAGTTGCGCGGCTTTTGCTGCTGTTGCCCATCGACCCGCCCCCCAACCCCCTCTCTTCCACATGAGTGCGTACCCTCCCCTCCCCCCCGCCCCCCCGCTCGGCTCCATCTTCTCCACAATTTCCGTGGCTTGCGCCCCGCAAGAATTCTTCTTGGCTTGCACTCTCCGCCGCAGCAGGAAGGAGGAATGGACGAATGCCTCCCTCAGCCGTCGTCTTGGGGTTTGCTTACGTTTGGTTGTTCCTTGTTTTCGATTGACCCTTCTGTTGTTCTCCCCTCCAATTTGTTGTTTCTTCGTGATGATGGATGTAGTCCTCCTTTAGGTTATCATGCTGTCACTGATTTGATCTCATTTATATTATCGAGCCAATGATGATGACGAGGATGAGGATGAGGACGAGGATGATGAGGATGAGGATGATGATGATGGGCACTGGATTGCGCTAATGAATAAGCAGCAGTGGAAGTCTTCAGGTGAAAGAGAGGAGGAGGAGGATGCACGTAATGAGGGTTGGGGTTAGGATGATGATGATGGGGTTTGGGATGGAGGGGAGGGGGAGTGAGGCTGGTTGATGGGCTTCTTCTGACGTAGAGGGTAAGAGTTGATTATAGATTGTGTGAAAAAAGGGAAAAAAAAAGAGAACCAGTTTCTGTTTTGTGACTTGTAAATGCTGATTACTCCCCTTGTAAATGCTTATTACGCGTCTTGATTATGGATTTTGACGATTGATTGATTGATTGCCATGATTGGATGTGGTTGCGCTGCTGGACTTGCTTCACTGAAGGAGCTGTGACTCAAGTAACAATATGACAAAACGTTGGAGGATATGATGGGTTTGAGATATCTTGTTGTTGTTGTTGTTGTTGTTCCTTTTTTTTTTTTTTTTTTTTCGTAATAGATATCGTACGTATGAATTTGATTATGACTGTGACTTGATTGCTCCCTGCTTTTGACAGGGTGATTGAAGTGACGAGTACAGGAACTGTTATCAATTGTGTAAGAAAAGAAGAAAATGCTAAAAAAATAAAATAAAATAAAATAAAATAAAAAGAAGAAGAAAAAATGGTCTATTTTCTACATGTGGTGTGTGGTCGATATTATGGACTGACCCGAACGAACACACCGGCGTGAGTGCGCGCGCGCTTATGTCGTTCTGCGGGCGGTGTTTTTTTTTAACCGCCCACAGAAATGATTTTTCATTTGAACGAGAGAGAGAGAGAGAGAGAGAGAGAGAGAGAGAGAGAGAGAGAGAGAGAGAGAGAGAGAGAGAGAGCNACACACAGAGAGAGAGAGAGAGAGAGAGAGAGAGTGGAATGTTTTTGTGTTTAGTCACTTCGGTGTGCTTTTCTTTTAAAGAGAGAGAGAGAGAGAGAGAGAGAGAGAGAGAGAGAGAGAGAGAGAGAGAGAGAGAGAGAGAGAGAGAGCACTTGCCTGTAACCGATTGTGTGTGTGTGCGTGTATGTGTGTATGCGTGCGTGCTTGTGGGGTGGGCGGGACCAGGGGAAGAACTCTCTCTCTCTCTCTCTCTCTCTCTCTCTCTTTCTCTCTCTTTCTTTGAGGGTGTCTCTTGGGGCACTGGAGTGAGCGGCAGGAGCAGCGGGGAAAGAATCAGCTGGGGGTCGGGATAAGTGGGACGGGGGTGGGTGGGAGGAATGGGATCCTGGGAGGAGCGTGATCTTAGCCTCTTTCTCTCTATTTCTCTCGCTGGGTCTCGTCAGGGGCTGGAGTGAGTGGGAAGAATAGCATCGAGGAAGGGGGGGTCTATTCCCGCTTTATAAGAGGGGGATGAAATGGGATCGGGATCGCGATCACGAAGCGGAGGGGTTGCAACGGAAAGGGGAAGGGAAGGGGAGGAGGTTGGGGAAGGGGTTGGGGAAGGGTAGGGAAAGGGTAGAGGGAGAACAGTTTCAGTGCGTTCGAATCCCAAGGGCAGAGGAAGGGAAGAGGGGAAGATGAGAGAAAGGGGAGGGAAGACGAAGGGAAGGGGCTGGGAAGAGAAGCCGAATGCGTCACTAGGTTGGTGGCCACCTTTTATAGCTGCGCACCCAGTTCAGCTGAATCTACCTGGAAAAGGCGACAAGATTCATTCCAGAATGAAGTAGCCAAGTATGAAAATGCATCTTCCTTCTATCGATCTGCGAACAATGGTGACATAGTACTTCTTCTATACAGCAGAAATGCCTGCCAGGTACCCCTCTCCCCCTCCTCCCCACCTCTCTCTCTCTCTCTCACACACACACACACACACGTCCATGGCTGTGTGGGTCTGTAGAGAGGGTTTATGGCTGTGACAGACTACCGTCTTCGCCCGAATATAACGCCCGGTCATTTTAGCTGTATTTGGGGCATTTTTCAGTCCAGATGCAGCGATAATGACCGGGCGTTCTATTCGGGTGAAGACGGTAGTCTCTCACACTTGCTGCCATTCTTGTCAGGGGTTTGAATCCCTGACACGTCTGCTAGGATTGCAGGCTTGGTGTGAGAGTGAAGTCGGCCACTTTTCTCTCTCCAGTAAGGGTTAAAAATAAATAAAAATAAAAAAATTGACGGCCACTTTTCTCTCTCCAGTAAGGGTTAAAAAAAAAAAAAAAAAAAAAAAAAAGACGACGACGTGGTGTCCATCGTAGGTGTGTCTGGATGGGGTGCTTACAGGCTATTATTAGGTTATTATATACTCCTGTACGTGTTCAACCTGTAGGTCTCGGTGCAGGTCCCCCTTGACCGGCGGACTAATCGAGTGGGTCCTGGTACACACGCTAGGCGATGACGTCGAAGCGACCGCGCCCGAGGAGAAGGCGGAGAAGGCAACTGACCTGGCAAGATGGTTAGGGCGATGGTGGCCGATGACGTTGATGAAGTTCCTTGGGACGATTGTGCGTTGATTGCAAGGGCCGATGATTTTGAAGTTTTCACTGCATGCAAGGACTTGGAAGATGATGGCGATGGTGATGGCGATGATAGCGAAGGTGAAGTTTTCATGTTCCATAACCCCGATGTCTACTCCCTCTACAGAAAACCCCAGGCCCATTCCCCTGATGTGACCTCTTGGCCCAGCGCGGACTTTGTCAGGGGGACCTATTACTACTCAAATGGCCAGGGGTGATAACCATCTTGACCGAAATGTGTGGTCTGGCAGCACCACCCCCCTTTTAAATTAACGCGTACCATCACCTGCCCCATTTATCTTCCCTACCGTAGGGCCAGCTCCAAGGACCGGAGGCAGCACATTTGTTGGCGTTACCCCCCGAATACAACGTACGGCCATTATAGCTGTATCTAGACTGAAAGTGTGTCAAATGCAGCTATAATGACCGTACGTTGTATTCGGGGGAAGAAGGTAGGGGTAACGGCAAGCTCCATTTATCTTCCCTACCTTCTTCACCCGAATACAACGTAGGGTCATTCTGGCTGTATTTAGACGGAAAGATGGCCCAAATACAGCTACTTTGTATTCGGGTGAAGACTGTGGGGCCAAGCTCAAATGGGTGATCGCAATACAGCGGACCAGGGCCAGGTCCCATTAGCAGCGTTGAGTTTTCTCAACGCCGGAATCTGGACGAGTCTGTGGATATGTGCACAAATCGTGTTGAGTTTTCTCAACCGCACATCTCCACGAACTCGTCCGGATTCAGACGTTGAGGAAACTCAACGCTGCTAGTGGGACCTGCGCCCCGGAGAGTGCAAGCAGGTAACCAATGCCATTACCAGACCGGACTTAAACCACCAGTACCCCAGGGGGTCCTTAGGCCCCCTCTGGGGAGGCTCTGGTGCAAATGCATATGGAACCCCGCCGGGCACAGGTTCAGCCACCTGTAACAGGAGGGTTGTGGGCAGGGACGGGTACCATTCTGGAGGGGAGGAATGGGTATATGGGCAGGCAAAAAAAATATTGGTCGTCGTGGTGAGGGCGGGCACAGCTGCCAAGATGGAGAGAATGGGTAGGGAGGGGCAGGTAGGGGGCGGGGAAAAGAAAAATAACGCAGGGATGGGCGGGCAAAAAAAAAAACAAAACAAGGGTATGGGCAGTCTAGGGTGGCAAAGAAAAAATTCATATGGGTATGGGTGGGTAGCAGTTTCTCTCCGGTAACCGTAGCAGCAGGTAGTGTGTCGAAGACAGAACCCCCTCCCCCCTCCCCCCTCCCCCTTGGCTGGCACCTCAAGTCCCCGACTCCCCGGTGTTTGAAAATATGCAGACCAAGGTGCCCAAAATCTTTTATCGGGCTACCCAACGCCCGGAAAAAAATTGGGGGGATCGCCTCCTGACCTCGAATTTGGCCGCGATCGAATTCGGGAGTCCTCTACCCCACGGTCCACCTCACCTCCCGCCCGTTGTTGGTCCGCAATGCTCCGCATTCCTTCCGCCCGTTGTCGGGTCTCCGCCTGTCGTTGTCATCCCCGCCCGCCATTGGTCATCCTCCATGGACTTCATCGGCGAAGGAGTGATCACAGCACTCGGCAGGAGGCATCAATATCGGCAGCAGCGGCATCAGGAGCGGCAGCAGAAGTGATTCGGGCCTGGTCGGTGAGTAAGTCCCTTATACAGGTTTCCAATTCATGAGTTCACTAGCAGATGCCTGCACAGCACTACAAAACACGGCGATATCAGCAATTTGTCCACCCAGACTCCAGGTACGATAGACAAATTTGGGTGTTGTCTGTGTAATTAGTGATTTTTGCAGGCTGGGAACCATACAACCTTGGATAGCGATTCTGGAGAGTGCCATCTGACAGCTATACACGGAAATGTGAAGGTCGATTTTGAAAGTAAGTGGCGCGATGTCCAATTATCCGAAATCGTATAGCGGTCAGTACCGGAGCGACTAAAAAATCGTGTAGCGGTCAGTTCCGGAGCGACTAAAAAATCGTATAGCGGACAGTAGTGGAGCGACTACCGGAGGAATATGCGAGCTAGGGCATGCACAGACTGTAGGGAGAAAAAGAAACAGGTGGCGGGTATATTTGATTTTTTGAACTTTTCTCCATAACTAAAGATGCACCTGAGGCAACATCCAGCCAGGTGGGTGGAATAGAATGTACGGAGAACAAGGAACAGGGGGCTGGGATAGTTTGTATTCTGCGTACTTAATGATGTTTCTGGCACAACATCCCGTCCAGATACGTGCAGCAGAATGTAGGGAGAATAAGAAACACCTGGCTGTGGTATTTCCTATTCTCCCTTTGGTTTGTTGTATGCTCCTGGGTGGAATATTGTGCCAAATACATGGTTAGTTTTGCCCACTACTGGTAGGCATGGACCACCACACCATGAGCGGTAAACATGATCTTCAGATAACTCTTGGATAGTTCTTGGATAGTTCTTGGTTAGTTCATGGTTAGTTCTTGGATAGTTCATGGTTAGTTCTTGGTTGGTTCATGGTGAATTCTTAGTTAGTTCTTGGTTAGTTCTGGGTTAGTTCTGGGTTAATGTTAGAGCTATTGGCTATTGTTAGTTCTTCGTTAGTTCATGGTTAATTCTTAGTTAGTTCTTGGTTAGTTCTGGGTTAATGTTAGAGCTGTTGGCCATTTGGCACCCCTTAATGCTCTTTTTAAGCTTCCAACCCTGCATGCACAGCCCTTCCTGCCATCACCTCTTTTTTTTTTTTTTTTTTTTTCCCTCACCATCACATCTGCCGAAGTGATCGACTGCTGTGTGCTCCGCATGGAACGATGGCCATTTTGACTACCGGCTTCACCCGAATTGTACACACGGGAGGAACGATAGTGAAAAGATAGATTAGCATGGGCCCTGGGCAAAAGGATGACACGCAGAAATTGAGAAATGGTGGAAATTTTTATTTTTTTTAATGATAAAGTTTGG